AAAAATTAACTTTTTTTATAGCCTCGCTTACTAATTTAATTAACTAAGTAAAGTTTATTTTTAACTTTAAATTTTTCAAATTTAAAATTAGTTTAAGAATAAGTAATTACTTATTTCGTTTATTTAAAAACAAATTAGGCTTATTTATAGCCTTATTTATTTTTTATAAAGCGAATATAAGTAATAATAACTATTTTTTATTATTAATTAATACGGCCTCTTTTTTATTTATAACTTTAAGTAATTAGAGTTTAGGTTTAATTATTATAAGCGGTTATTAAATCTTATTTACTATAGCCCTTAATTTAAGTAAATAAATTATAGTTTTAATATTATTTTTTAAATAAAAAGCTATCTTATTAAACGTTATATTTTAAATAATAATAATTTTTAAAAACGAGGGGATCTAGATCTTATATAAATTATAAATATTCGTTACGTAACTTATAAAATACTTAATATATCCCCTCTATTCTATTTTAAAATGTTTTTTATTAATTCTTTTTTTATAATTCCTTTTAAAAAGATATGCTCTATAACTATATATATATATTTATTTTTAATAAGGACGTAAATTATAAGCGAGCTTTAGTATATTTATTAATTATTATTATTTAAAATAATAAGTAAACTAAATTTCCTTAGTTTAAACTAATAATAACTAGCTAGTACGTTACTTAGGACTAATATTATATAAATAAGTTACGGCTAATATAGCTTTTATTTAGAGTTTATTTAGTAAACTAATTACTAATATTATATTAATTACTTTATTAATAATTTTTTAACTAGCTCGTTTTTTTTTTATTTAGTTTTTTTATATATAGAAGAGTAGTCTCTAGGTCTATTTTAAGCTCTTATACTTATATTTAAAAACGAGTTTTATTATTAATTACGATTATTATATATTTTACGTTTTATTAGATCTTATAAACGGCTACGCTTTTTTATATACGTACTTATTATTTAAAAAAGTATAGGACCCTAAATATTATATTATAAGTTTTTATAACTCGTAAAAAAATAAAAATTTTATCTAAATATTCGTTTTTAATTAGTATTAACTACTTACTTTATTTATAAGTTAATAAGTAATTAAAAAGGTTTTATAAAAGTTTATAATAAGGTTAGGTTACTTTTTATTTTAAAGTACGTTATAAAATAACCTATTTTATATAAGTAATTATATAATATTAGTATTTTAAATAGCTTAGTTTTTTAATTTTTACCCCCCGAGCGGCTAGGACGAGCTTTTTAAATATTATTAATACGAAATATTTAAATCTAAGGTACTAAAACTAAGTTATATTTAAATAATTATTTTTTAATTAGTATAAAAAACGTAGGCGCTATATACTATATATTAAAATTATATTAACGAGCGAAAACTAATTTCTAAATAGAGAATAGGATAAATAGGGCTTATATTTTAAAAAAACTAAATTAACTTTCTTTTTAAACTATTTAATAATAATATTTTTAAATTTATTATTAAATTAAAAAGTATAATTAAAACTTAAGTACTAAATACCCGTTTTTTAAAAAAGAACTTTTAATATAACGTTTATATAGAAGTTTTTAATAAAACTAATATTATAAAGAATAAGGTATTTTATTTTAAGCCCCTTTGGTTTTATAAAAATATTTTATATAATCTTCGTTCCCCTAATAATAATAAAATAAAATACTATTCTAAAGTTTATATTTTTTAAACTATTACTCTATTAAATAAAATCTAGTTTTAAAAGTAATTAGTTATTAATAAAATAAATAATATTATAATTATTTATAATTATATTTTTAAAAAGGAAGTATAAGTTAGTAAAGGGGATAAAGAGAATAGTAAAATTATTATTCTTATTACTCTTTATATTTAGCTTAAAAAGTAAACTAATATTAATAATTATAATTATAATATTTAAAAAGTAGGTCCCCTTAAAGTTTTTTTTATTACTTAGCTTATTAGTTTTAATTATTTTTTTAAAATAACCTCAGTTATTATTATTTTATTTAAAAAGGGGTTTTATATAAATTTAGCTTTTCTAAGCGAGGTTAATATAAAGGTTAATATATTTTTCTTAGTTTAAATAGGAAATTATTTTTTAAGCTTTATTACTACTTAGCTAAATATATTTTTATTTTATTTTATTTATTAAAATAAGCTCTATTTTTATATAATTTATTAATTATTAGTAATAGGACCTTTTATAAAAGTAGTTAGTAAATAAATTAAGAGTTACTTTATTTTACTTAGGGGAATTTAAGTAACTTATTAGTATTATAAATATTATAGGGGTTCGTTTATAACTCTTATTATATACTACCTTTTTATATAATAAGTTATTAAAAATCTTAGTATAATACTTTATATTAGGAATCGCTTCCCCTTTTTATTTTAATTTAATAATATTAACGAGCTCTTAATTAAATTAATTTAAAACGAAGCGACGTATAGTTATATAAAAAAAAGTTTTTAAAATAAGAGTACTCTAAACTTTAAATAGATTAAGTTATATTACTTAATAATAAGCTAAAAAAAAGTTTTTAATTTAAGTTAATAAGTTAATATTAAAGTTCGCCCTACTTATAACTATATTAAATTTTTTTTTATAATTATAAGTAAATTAAAATTACTTAGTACGTATTTTTATTTAAAAACCTAGATTATAACTTAAAAAGAGTAATTTAAAGAATTAATAAGTTTTTTTTTTATATTTTTTAAGATTTTTTAAATAATTATAAAAGAGATTTAATAATTTATTAATTCGTACGATTTTTTTTTTAAAAATAAGAAATTATTTTAAATACGGTTTATTAAATAAAAAAGGTATATTTTTTACTAAAACGTACTTAGTTTATTATTATAGTTTTTAATTTTATTAAAGTAATTAGTTATTTAATTCGATCGTTTTTAATTAAGGGTTTAATTATAGTCTCGCTTTTTAACTATTTAGTTTATTATTAAGTAAACTTTTTAAATTTTTATTAATATTTAGTTAAAGCTATTTTATATACTTAACTCTAAGTAGTATTTTATATTTTAATATACTCCTTAATTAAAAAAATAAATTTAGTAAAGAGTAACGAATTTAATAAAAAAATATAGTTATTTAAGTTTAGTAAGTCCTAAACGTCCTTTAATTAGGCTTTAACTTATAGAGCGAGGTACTAATTAAGCTTTTATTTAAGAATATTAGTAGTTTTTTTAAAAAATATTAGTTTATTTAAGATTAAGCTTAACGAACGTAATAGGGGTTAAATAATATTATAAAAAAGGATATAATAAACCGTAATCCTTAAAAAATAATTTTTTAATAAAAATATAGGGGTTTAAATTAGAGCTAAGCTTATAATTATTATAAAGTTATTATAGGGGTATTAATATATATAAAAAGAACGGTTATTTATTAAAAATGAGAAATAAGTACGAAGCTCGTTTTAATATAGAGGGTATAAGTAAAGTAGGCTTTAGTAATTATATAACCGAGGTTACGTAACGTGTAGTAAGGCTATAGATAGTTAAAGCTATCACGACAAAAGGATAATTTTCACCTCAGTGAAGCATTATAGTACTTTTATCAGAACAGAATGGAAACACTCTTCTAGCTATTCAAGACCTATTTCTGGTTACAGAGTGCCACGAAACTCGCAATATTGGCTCTCATTCCCGATTATATCGAGGGAATAATCAGTGGGTTCAAAGTTAAAGATACTGGAAGCAGTTGTCAGAGTTTGAGATGTAGAGAACGTTCGAGGAGCCTTTTTTTCAGCTTTCGTCACAGCAAAGTGTTTGGTCGTTTCCTGAAATAGCGTATGCCAATCGTTGAGTAGATGCATGTACGATCTTCCGTTGCTAATCCAATACCTTCGGAGACGGGCCTTGGCCTCTCAACGGCCCACCTCGGTAGGTGTAGCCTTGGTAGAGAAGCTGGAGTGACGATTGAAGACATCGTCGATCACGTCTTTCGCCTCGTTAAAATCAAAAAGATACCAGCCGAGGATAGCTCTTGCCGGACACTGAATCTGAAGTCTTTCGGCTTGACTTCCCCAAGCTAGGCGGGTCACGCGAATGAATCTATTGTACTTCAGGGGCTGACTGTATCTCATTGAGAAAGACATACATCGACATGTACAGCAAAAGTGGGCAGTGAAAAGTATATTCCCTCACGCCAAGATCTCAAGGTGTTTCTAGCCGACAGTAAGGTAAAGTTTTTAAAGGTTAATAACAAAGATCCCAGAGATCAGCGGCAAAGAAACTCAAAAGAAAGCACATGAGAGGGGGTTGAACCAGAGACCCTACTCAATAGAGGATGTAAAAAAGTTGTCATGACACCGCATGTACCCATTAGGCTACAGAGGCACCCGACTCGTCACCACACGATATGAGCCACGGACATAGCTATGTCCATATCTCCTGAGCGCTATGGATAGTACCTTAAACGAGGGCTTCAATAAGGGGGATTCAGATTCGAACATGGGTGTTTCTGCTCCTGGTCTTTGACGTTCTCCAGCCAAAAGATGTTGCTTTCAACCTTGAAGTCATCCCCTGTCTGATTGAATTCCCATCACGTTTCCCTTTATGTTCTCGCCCTCCATCCAGTGTTATACCTAGACACTTCGCGTGAACAGTTTCCCATGGCCTCATGCAATTTAGCCCCGCGTTGTCTCGTCCAAGCGGTCCGGTGCTCTAGTGCTGGTCGTTCCATTGCTATATGATACCGCTTGACCGTGCCTCCTCCGTCCTTCTCTGAACTAGCTGCTGCCCTGTTTCCGTTCTTGAACCCTATGCTCCTGCTCTTTGCTTCCCGGTGGCTACCTCGACCATGTCCCCCACCTGCCAGTCTCGGGCCATCCTCCTTCTCGTTCCAACATCGCCACCACACCACACCCTCACCATCCTTCCCCGTCTATCTCTTTCCTTCCGCATGCCTCATCCTTACTTTCTCATCTCTTTCCCAACCGTTCTAGCCCTTCCCACACTTCCCCCGCCGCCTCTCGCATCAATCAGTTTCCTTCTCCTCGTCGTCAAAGACACCGCAGGTAGCCTAGTTAGTGCATAGCACTCGCTCGTCACCACACGATGTCGAGAGATCCCGGGTTCGAGCCCCGGTCAAGCTCACCTCAGAGTGGTTTGCGGAATACGTCTTCCCTTGGGTCCACTCAGGCACCTGTATTCGAGCGGCAAACACGTTCGTTCTAACGCTAGTCCCAAGTCTATCAATACAGATGATGGTCTGGTCCAGTTTGCATCGGGGTTCAAGGCTTGTATCGCCAAAGGCTCTCGCACGATCGACGCGGCGGCGAGAGAGCCTGTCAAGCCGCAAGAGGAAGATATCGAACTAGGATCACTTAGTAGATTTGACGCCAGTCAGGTTAGCGTGCATGAAGGCAGAACAACGTCTGATTGGTCATATCCTCCAGAGGCATGACATTTTGCAGTTGCTTGGCTCATGGGTGAGAAAGCCTGCTCTGACATTAGGTTTTTCGGGAACGAGAGGTTCATAGACCATCGACGAATTCGAGAATGAGCCTCAGACTAAGTTTGGAAGGTTATCAAGTGTTTTATGAGAGCATAACAAGTGTTTGTATACATGAAAGTCAGACTTTTGTGTCGGTAATAGAACTATTGGATTTGTTCAGGTCATGTTACTAGGTTTGATCATAATCATGAATCTTTCCACATATATAATCACTACCTACTGTGCATTCACTGATACTGTGTATTAATACCGTGTAAACGATATCGAGAACCGCCCGAGCAGCCAGCAAAGGCAGAATATAAAAACAAATACTCAATACTGCTTTCATTCCAAACAGAGGGAAAAGAAGATTTTTTCCTCAAGAAGGGAGGGTCCCTGTGCAGCTTCACAACTTGATAAACCATAAGAATTTCGAACGAATTCATAGAATACCTTGTTAATCGGAGAAAGTGTGCGTACTGAAGACTACACGCGAGGAGTCAATATCATTCGTGGATTATGAAACGATAAGATCGTGTACAGGCAGGGGCTCGTGATCGTGTTCTCTTGAATGATCGACTTATTTGTTGCGCAAAACCAAGGCCTACGAGGATCTATCGGGAAAATGTCCCGCATATCAACTTCGTCACATTCACTCTCGCCTGGTCTCTTCAATCCTTGTGTTCGGTGACCTTTACCCAAAAGTTATCCTGCATGAATAAGTTGTGATTGACGCTATGCCAAGGCTTAGCGGGATCCAAAATCTGGAACTCAAAATTGCGAAGCAACTGAATGTGTAAATGTCAGCATCTCAGCACCTCAGAGTGTCACAGTATTCTCAAACTTGGGGCGGAAAGACAGTGCTTACTTCAACAAACACCTTATTCAATTCCAGAAACGCAACATTCTTTCCCGCACAACCCCATCGTCCATACCCAAACGCGAGTTCAGTTGTCTTCTGCATCTTATCCTTTGTCGCCGCGTCGGCTTCGATCCATCGCTCAGGCCGGAATAGGTCCGCATCTTTACCAAATACGTCGGCGCGACGAAGCGTGCCCCATACGTTCTGGGCGATGCGCGTACCACCCGGAACAAAGTGTCCATCGATAGTGTCTCCTCCGGCGGGCACTTCTTTGGCGCAAAGGCCGGTGAAGGGCGCGCACATCCGGAGACCTTCATAGATAATGGCCTAGCTTTGGTGAGCAAGTCCAGGCTACGATTATCAGGAGCGAGATTTGGGGGGCCTAACCTGAAGGTAGGGTAATGTTTTTCCTTCCTCATAGGTAATTGGGGATGATATCCGGCATTGGGTGATAGCTGTGCTAATTTCGGTTTTCAGAGTATGATATGCGCGAGGCGATGTGATAAGATGCAGGAAAGTCGTCCGAATTGCTGTTGCGGTTGTGTCTGATCCAGCAATGATCTGGAAGAGAACTTCTGTTTCACACTCGCTCTGGCTGACGCCGTGCCGGATAAAGGCACCCTGGTTGTTCTCAGCTTTGCTCCAGACAGGATAGCTGACAGATAACCTACCAGCATGTCCGGTTCCTCCTTTGCATCTGTACCGAAACGTCGTCCGACAACTTCCTTGGCCACTCTGTTTCGATCAGCATCGCAGCATCATGCTACTCATAGAGGAACCACTACGTACCCCATTAGCTTTCCCAATCCGCTCTTGTCAGTATGTTTCGGGCCGACAGCTCCTAGAACGGGCTTGGAAAACATAAAGCTGGCAAGCCATGGCACCTCACTGCATAGCTGCAGAAGCGGTATAGCCGCCTCCGTGGTGCTGATGTAGTCATGGACATCCGAATCAGTGGCTAGGTACCCAAACTCTTTTCCATACGCAACTCTGGTAATAACATCCAACGTGAAATATTGTGTTGTCTTGCCCAGGTCCATCGGCCTGACCTCGTCGTCGGTAGTAACATACTTCCTCTTGATGAGGTCCACGAAACCAGCGACCTGGGAGTTGATGCCGTCTTCGAGCGCCAGGTTCTCTTTGCCGGCGTATCCAGCTGCGCACTTCGCTTTCAACTTGTCATGTGCGCCGGTGTCGCGCAGACTGAACAAGCTGTCTTCGTGAGGATTTAGCTTTGTGGTATCGTACCAGGATGATCGGCCGTAAGGTGATCTGGCAGCGTTCATGCGACGCAGGATATCCGGGTCGTCAGTGACGAGGTCGTTTGGGCCAATGCGGACTAGGGAACCATGTTTCCTGTTGAGGTTGGTGAAGTGCTCGGCCGGTCGACCGGAGCGGGCGTTTGATATGAGCCATATGTAAGAGAAGCGTCCGATGAGCGGGCCCGGGAAATCGCGGAGACGGCCGTAAGCTATGATAGATGAGACGACATAGTAGATAATGAAAGCGAAGCTGAGATAGAGCGGTGTCGCGCCTGCATCGAGGTATGAGGTGAAATTTGATGGCGTCATATTTCCAGTCGTCAGCTCGTCCTGCAACTTTATTGCAATACTGAGGGAGACAAGATTGAGTTGACTTCAATTTCAATTGCAACTACAAGACTCTTATCCAGTCGTAAGGGTCCCCCATTATATCGTCTAGTATTTCCAATGCCGACAGCGATCATCTTCTACTTTCCGGGTTTGCCCCGTCCAGACATTGACTAGACCCCTTGCCATCCCAACGCGTTGATTGTTGGAACCCCGCCTCTTGTTACATCGCTCGGGATTCTAGAGACGTCTTGAGGATGACAGCGCTGACTTCCATGTCGATTAACCAGGGTTTGCGGATTGGATGGCTTGGTGTACCGGGCCGTTGACACCAAAAGTCCCAAATGCCGATTATGAACCTACCTCAATTCGGATACCTAGTCCATCTGGAAGAGTCGCACTGCCCAGCCTACGGTATCATTCGATTGCAGACAATCAGTCTATCGATGCCAGGTGATGTCCAATGACGACCTTCCTTTCGGACCCGGGCAAGATGGGAACGAGAGGTCGGCAATTGGAGAATTCAGACAATTACGCTTGTGATTGGATGTTTTGGGGGGAAACTGGAGGAGAGGCAGCTTTTGTGGGTTCCTCAACCTTGTCTTGTGTAACGTAGGGATCACGGATATGTCGGCGTAAGCGCTTGAGCTTTTACGGTTACAACGAATGTGCCATGATGGATCGCTATCGGACTCTGATAGATTTTGAAATGGGGCAATGGGCAAAGAAGGTGTCTTGGTAAGCTGTTGCTATTCACGGACAAGCGACCATTTGCCAAGGAAAACTCAGACATTGTCGACGACCCATATAGGCCCACAGACACGAGCTGGAGGAGTAATAGAGGAAGCGTTATTGGTCGGAGCAGGGACGGGGCATGAGCATAAGGTACACTAGGATAAGGAGAAGGGTAGCAAACATTGCGATGAAGTATGCGATGGCTGAGAAACATTACGAGACAGCAACGACTTCGAGCCAACTTTGCAAAGACTTCCATGATCTGGAATCTAGCCCGAAGATGAAGGACATCTAGCTAAAATGGGATAGCTCGAGAGGCGAAAAGCTGATGCTTGGGAAGAGAACGGGGAGGGTTATCCATATTAAAAACACAGTAGCATACAAATTCCGTCGGAGACTTGACAAAAGGGCCCCCCATATCTTCCTTCATTCGAGTCTCACTGTCCGCAAGGCACGATTGCTCCGCCGAGTGTTGGTGGTTATTAGTACATTATCGTTTACTGTACAGTCGTTTTCAGCGCGGCGACGCCCAAAGTGATTCCGTGGGTAGAGCCCAAAGTCTTATTGAGGTGCCTTGGTGCGCAACTGAACGCCGTGCCACTGCTTCATCATGTCGCCCAAGACGGCGTTGACCATGCGCTGCTGCTTCAGCATGTTGGCGCCCTTGAATTTGGCCGAGGTGATGTCGATGGCGTACATGGAACCGCATCCGCCCGAAACGTCTTGAACGATGAGTTCCGAGGGCGTGAACTCGGCAACCAGCTTATCCCATATCGTCGACTCGGCATCGTCCAGGTGGTCGGGCTTCTCGAGGGCTGTTGCGGTCTCGGTCGCGGAGGAGTAGGAGCGCTTGGAGATGGATCGAAGGTTGGATTGAGGCAGTGGTCGGATCGCCTTGGAAACTTGGACTCTAGGAGCGGATCTCAGGGCGTCGTTTCTTGTTGCGATCGACAGACTTGAGAGGGGAGCCTTTGCGATGATGGTGTTCGTGGGCTTGGGGAGCGCAATTGCGCGACGGCACGCTCTGCAAAGCATTTTGGACTGATTCGGTGATTAATTTGTTGGCTATTTGGGCCGTGGTGTAAGAGGATTTGGCAGCGGCTTCAACTGGGGTCGCTTGAGGCTATCGCGGTCGAATCGAGGTCTCCAAATGATTTACCGTGGATTTGGTGGGAAGCTTCAATTCGGAATTTCTAAGCTCGCAGCTATTGACGTCAACCAGGGATTGGGTGAGCTGCCGGGATTTAGCCGGTGGCTGGGTGCGGTTTACAGTGTGGCTTAGCTCACACTGTACCTGTGTGAGATGAGTGGCTCAGTGAGATACAAGTGAGACTCACACCTCCATCAAGCACACTCACTCACATGCCTCTCTTGTGCCACTCACTCGACCTTCATACCTTTCAAGCTAACAAGCAACCCGGTTCACTTCGTGCGTATGGTGAGAAAAGAAATATCTCCTAGTCATTTCATTAAAGTCGCAAAACAGCTAAGATGGATCACAGGGACTGGAAATTTTAAGGGGCTAATACGACAACACCATCAACCACCAAGGGCTACATCATCACCCTCAGCTCTCCTGCTTCACATGCAGATGTCCCCGCTAAGATAGGCCGCTCTAGACGGTGGGAAAATTATTTCTGCATCTCCAATCTGCCAGCCATGGCGCGTCTCTCACCTACTTCCGCCGAGTTACCCCGGCAAATTCTCCCAGTTCGAGATCACCCCGTCCGTCTTACCCCAGGGCCCAGGGCCATCAATAGCGTCTCCCCGCATCTCCCCGCATTCTTCTCCAATGATTTACCCCAGGCCGTAAAAGCTGCTTAGTCCGACACTAGAAATTAGAGGCGACGAGGTTCTCTTGCGGTTTTTGTCAAATTCCTCCAATCAGGCGTGTTAAGGTCCGGCCGGCAACACTTTTCCCAGCGGTCTGGCAATGGACGCGATGAACGCGATGAACGCATCAGGGGAAGACAGCGAGCTTCGATGCTACGCTAGAAGGCGTATAAAACGTGGTACATAGAGGAAAGGAGACGCTCAGGGAAAATGAGAGGGACTGAGTAGCAGAGAAGAGCAGCAGCTTGATCCTCCTTCTTGTTTCAATGGCTCGGTTTTCCTTTTTGTTTTCCGCGGCTGCGGCTTACTTCCTCCAGGCCGTGGCAGCTCAAGAACCTACAGCCCAGGTCCTCAATGGCACTTACCAAGGCCGTCATTTGTCTGAGTGGGACCAAGACGCCTTTCTCGGTGTCCCTTTTGCGCAGCCTCCGGTTGGTCAGTTGCGGTACAAGTGGCCACAAAGCCTCAACACTTCCTTCGAAGGCACGAGAGATGCCACAGAACAGGGCTACAGCTGTATGCAGTTCAGGGGGACCTTCAACATGTCCGAGGACTGCTTGACCCTCAATGTTGTCCGTCCAGCTGGAAAGCCTGAGAAGCCGCTCCCGGTTCTCGTATGGATCTTTGGTGGTGGCCTATACACTGGGTCAATTGTAAGAAATTGTCAATTTTGGAGCATCGTGTGTCAAGACTGACTTGAATGTGACATAGGCCGATCCTCAATATAACCTCTCGGGCATTGTCCAAGTCAGTCAGGACATGGGCCAGCCCATTATTAGCGTAGCCATGAACTACCGTCTCAACATGTACGGCTTCCTACAAACACCTCAAATCCTCGCCGAAGGATCCAGTAACGCGGGTCTGCTGGATCAAAGGTTGGCGCTCCGGTGGATCCAGGAGAACATCGCGGCCTTTGGTGGAGACCCGGACCGGGTGACGATCTGGGGCGAGAGTGCCGGGGCCCAGAGCATCGCCTACCACATGTTTAGCTACGATGGCCGGGACGACGGCCTCTACCGCGCCGCAATCCTCGAGAGCGGCGGGCCGACGGGGGCCCAGGTACAGGACCTTGCCTACTACAACGCTCCCGTCGAGAATCTGACGCGCAGTGTCGGCTGTTGGACCGCCAAAGACCAGTTGGCTTGCCTTCGCGGCCTAAGCCAGACGCAACTCTTTGCAGGAAACCCCAGTCAAGTGTGGAACCCGATGATTGATGGCGACTTCCTGACGGGCTACCCGAGTCAACTGATCCGCGAGGGCAAGTTTGTCAAGGTGCCTCTTTTGACGGGCGCCAACAGCGACGAGGGAATCAACTTCAACCCCAACAGCCCCAAGCCAAATACCGAGACTGACCTGTTCAACGGCTTCACTTGGTGGCGCTCTTACGCCCTCTCCCCACCGACGATCAGAAAGCTCTTTGAGCTGTATCCCAACGACCCCTGCACCCAACCGCCGCTCTCCATCACGAACTGTTCCGTGTACCCGGAATATGGCCTGCAGTGGCGGCGGGGTGCCTCCATCGGCGGCGACTTAGTCATGATCTCGGGCCGCCGGAAGATGTGTGAGCTCTACGCCGTCTCTCAGCCCGTGTACAGCTACCGCTTCGACCAGCTGCTTTGGAACCGCAAGCAGATTGAGGGTGTGCGACACTTTGACAACGTCGCGTACAGCTTCCAGAACATTTCTGGCCTGCTCGGGCCGTCGCCGCAGTATGACAGCCACGTGCGCTTCGCCCGCGCCATCGGGGAGGCCTATGTGCGCTTCGTTTACGACACGGATCCAAACCCGAAGGTTGGCAGTAATGGGACTTTTACGAATGGCACGTCGCTGTTGCCGTATTGGCCCAAGTATGACTTGAGTGCCCCCAAGAACTTGGTGCTAAACGCATCCAAGAGCTATGTGGAGGATGATACCTGGAGGAAGGAGGGCATCGACTTCATCAACACCTACGAGGTTGCAAGGGAACTTCTTGCATGAAAAATTGACCTGCAGTTGGGAACTCGGGTTTCTGAGAGCGGGTCTGATATCTAGCATCGGGCAACAGATGGGTAATCGGCATTGTCCGGCGTACACAGTACATAGATGATACAACAATAAGCAATGTTAGTTAATCATGGTGTGCTACGGATACTTATCCCACACACATGTTCTTTTCGTATTAGTGGAGACTGCCTCGATCCTCCTCGCTCGCCGCAAGGCCAAGGAGGGGAAGCAGGGCGACTCTTGTCATGGAGCCCGGTCACCGCCCAGCTGCCCGTTGACCCTCCCCCCTATCTTCCCGGGACGGACTGCGACGGTCGCATTTAACGATCTGTAAGGTACGACCCATCGTGCCCGAATGGTCGGGATGCTGATCTTGAGGCAGCATTGGCGTGCCTCTGAAGACTTGGCCGAGTTGGGCATCTGCGTTGGCCAAGAATCTTGATCCCCTCTCACGCAGGTGAAGAAGACTAGACTCGATACTGTTTGGTCGACTAGCGCCTACATATGAGTAGCTACCTCGTAGAGACTTCATGAAAGTCGGACAGTATCAACATCTGCAGTGTATCGCGATACGATAATGGTCGATTTATTTAGCTATAAAACCCGCTTCTGAGTTGAGCAGGGCAAGACTAGCATCATGCTTCGGTCAATCAGAAATCAGAGTTGTTTCGGCGAAGGACGCTGTGGATATTTCCTGTCTACTGTGAGCTCCGCTCGGAATACAGAGCTTACAACTCTGTTTAGTCTCAATACTGAATACGGAAATTATTTGACCTTGTGCTGATAAGAATATCTTCAATTCTTCCCAACAACACAAAACACATTGTCTGCTGCATGCCGATGCATGTTGTTGAATCAACCATGAACAAAGTTTGGCGCCATAGTAAGGTTAAATGCATTTGTGTTTGCCAAAGTTCTATTTACATTGAAGACCCCTACAGCGGTGCAGTCCGCCTAGAATATGTGCATCCAGGTCCTCCCTAGCAGCAAGAAGTCAGTAATCATTTATCCGCAAATTTTAGGTTCAAGCAAGCGGGGATCATTGTTTGATGAGCCTCTCCAGTTGCCATCTCGCTGTAACCTCTTCGTTGATTTGCTGCGAGACACAGAAAGGCGACTGAATCGTACAAACCCTTCGCCTTTCGAGGTTCTCCGTCAGCCGAACCGTCGAACCCTGAGAAGGAGTGCATATCAAAAGTTCTCTCATTTTCAGCTGGACCCGTTCTCTCGCCCAGAATACGAAGAACTTGAAAGTTTAACCAGGTCAGGTTGAGTGGAGGAGATCCCCGCGGCCTCTTCCCGAGCTTCCCAGATCGCCTTAGCAGCCCAGCCGGGACCCAACTCCTCTTGGCTAAAGGCGAGAGAAGCGAGAGTAGCCGTGGTCCCCACGCCCTTTAGGCGTTGGTCTGGGCGTATCAATACTGGGCCATTGTTCTTACTCTTCAGACCTTCGCATCACTCCAGGCCTTCACAGCTCTATCATTGCATAGAACTCGGCGGGACTCAAGTACAGTTTCCAGTTGATACGGTTCGATACGTAATAGCAGACCGAAAGCGATGTCTTGCGCCTGTGACTCGAGAGTCCAGACTGACGCGCCTTTGTAAGTTTAATGCGAACCATCCAGCACAGGGAACATGTAGCGTCGCACCGCCGCCCGCATCCCGCGAACCTTTGCGTCCGGTTTAGAGCCGGGGCCTGGCCACCGCGTTATCGACTTTTCGGCAGGTGAATCGGATGGAGGCCCAGAAAGACGAGAAGCCATGGATGATGGGATGACAGATGTCGGGCCTTGTTGGTCTCTTCCCGTCAGACTCTCGAGCCTTCAACTCTCCCAGAATCCTTTCGCCCACTCAAAAACTCCGTTCAGCCACTTTTGGCTCTGCTCTGTGTGCGTGCGGGGATTTCGCATGTGGGCGCGGAAGTGTTGGCGATATTGACTAGCAAAAGGTCCTCCACCCAGTCAAGTCTCTGATTCTCCTGCCCAAAAGGTACAGACACAACATGAGTCGTTTAACCTTTCAAGCTCCTTTTTCTAGTTACGGACTGGCCTCCGACCTCACGCCCTATGGCTTGTTTCCTCGATAGAGAAAAATCGTATGCCGAGGAGTATCGGGACAAATAATCAACCTCAGAAGCCGATACTGACGTGCCTAGAACAACATCCAACGCAATCGCCTCAGAACCCACCATGCAGCCGGGATGTCCGTCCCCGCGTGGATGCTGCCGTTGTAACTACCACTCGCGTGCCTGAGCACATCGCGCGCTCGGCGCTCCACATCGCACGAGTGCCAATTCAGGAACACGCCCAACAGACAACAACCCCGAGATGCACTACTACTACGGCAGTAAGAGTGCCATGACTTCTTGGCCCCTTGGCTCCGTGGTCTGCGGAAGGGATTGTTGCACGCAAGACGGAAGGCAGCGTTTCTTCGAGGGGATGTGGGAGCTGCAACTCCCGTATCGTGTTTACCGTATCATATTGATATGATGTTTATCGCAGAGCGGCAAGTGTAATGTCTTGGAGTCTTAATAACGTTACGAATGAAGTCTTGCTGAACTCTGATAGGAGCAGACCCTCGTCCACCAATCTTTGTACAAGCCACTGACATTGAACAACTCGTCCTCCTTGTCTTTGTTCCCGGCCAGTATTTCGCAGCAACAATACCAATATGCAGCCGTCACCAATGCCACACGAGCCACCCAATGTCCTTTTGCCATCTGCAAACACAGGGCTCTAGATGTGCCACCAGACCAGAACAAGCCTCCCGAGTGTCTTAGCCTCCAATCCATGCGAACGCCCAACGGCCAGCCGCACTCTGATTTCAAGCACAAAAAACGTTGTGGCGTCGCTGCTGGCAATCTTCGCCCAGAGATCTCGAAGAAGTCAAATCTGATCTCCCGCTTTCTGCCAATCACTCTTCCGCGATAGCTCCAACTGCTCTTCTCAGAAGCGAGTCTCGAGAGGGCCTGCTCGCCACCAAACGGGGGGGATGCTAGTGAAATAAAAGTGCCCCTAACCAAGCAACCCCTGGCCATGGCTAGGTCTATGATCCATGGCCACCACGGTTGGCCAGGGACTCCCCTCCATCAGGTCTTGCAGTCCCTCCAACGACATGCGGAAGACCTTACCCAGATAGGAAGGCCATCTGAGCAAATTGACCGTTCAGAATGCTCTCCAATGACATTGTTCAATTAATTAGCCCCGGCCCAGCTCCCTACCACTACGAAGCCTAAACAAGGCAGCTCGAAAAGCAGCTTCTCATATGTTGATCGACGTTCGGTCGAGATGCTCCTTTTCCGCTACAGGCCGTGACTTGCCCACGCGGTGAATGAGCTGCAGATTGGCCTTCAAATCTTGAGGTAACAAGCTGCGTGCAATTTCTTATTTCCCTGGTCCCGTTCGCTTGTGCTATTTCCCCCTGACCCATGGTCCCATCCCATCCCACCCCTCAACCTCACCCCTGCTCCCCACTCACTATCGCGTGCCACACTGTCACCGCGCTTTTGCATCCTCGCAAACTCCCACAGCGCATGTCTTCTGTGCCGATGTTTCTCTCCACCTGCCTGGGCGAGCAAGCGTGCTGGTCTGAAATGGTGCTCCCAGTTCCTTTCATGACGACAACGACAGGCCCAATCTGGCGCCGTCCTGGGTCCCCGCCAGACTGGGGTTCGCCTTGAGAGTTGGGCCGAGCGAACAACCCATCCCCCTCGTCCTCCGGATGAAGGACACACTCATGGCACTTATAAAGCTAGACCCCCGGCGCGTCTGGCTCAAGAGATGATTTCTTTCTCGCCAGCTCCGGTCTCCCACAGGTCATCCGTTAGCCAAACACAATGGTCAGAAGCAGTCTCTTGCTGCCGCTCCTCGCGGCGGCTTCCGCCGTTCAAGCCAAGGCTCCGTCTCCCAAGACCGTCGCTGGTGCCTTCATCGTCGAGTTGGAGGACGGACAGGTATGTCAATAGCGCTAAGAGCAACCTACGCCAAGGCAAGGTAGAATTGCTAACCTAACCTTTCCAACAGGATGCCTCCGAGTTCTACGCAGAGGCAGAGAACGATGCCATCACTCGTTTGAACCTTACCTACTCTCTTTTCAAGGGCGCGTCCATCCAGTTCAAGAACATCGACACCGCCGACCAGAAGGCCGCCAAGCTCGGTCAGCTCGCTTCGGTCAAGAACATCTGGCCCGTGAGGACCTACAGCATCCCCAAGCCCGAGGTTGTCTGGACCGGTCAGCAGGGCCGCGACTACATCGACCTGAAGAAGCGCCAGGAGGGCGAGGATACCTTCTCGACTCACGTCATGACCCAGGTTGACCAGCTTCACGCCAAGGGAGTCTCCGGAAAGGGCATCAAGGTCGCCGTCATTGACACGGGTATCGACTACCTTCACCCCGCCCTGGGTGGCTGTTTCGGCGCCGACTGCCTCGTCAGCTACGGAACCGACTTCGTCGGTGACGCCTACGATGGCTTCAATGAGCACTTCCCCGACCCCGATCCCATGGATTGCGGTGGTCACGGAACCCACGTTGCTGGTATCATTGCCGCTCAGAGCAACCCCTTTGGATTCACCGGCACTGCTCCCGGTGTGACCCTAGGTGCTTACAAGGTTTTCGGATGCGAGGGCCAGGTCAGCAACGATGTTCTCATTGCTGCTTACAACCGCGCCTACGAGGAGGGCAGCGACATCATCACCGCCTCCATCGGTGGTCCCTCTGGTTGGACTGACGAGCCCTGGGCCGCCACCGTCTCAAGAATCGTTAAGGCTGGTGTCCCTTGCACAGTCTCTGCCGGTAACTCTGGTGACCAGGGTATCTTCTTTGCCTCTACCGCCGCCAGCGGTAAGCACGTCACCGCCATTGCCTCCTTTGACAACGTCATCACCCCGGCTGTTCTCATTGAGAACTCGTTCACCATTGCTGGTGGCGAGTCTCAGAACTTTTCCTACACCCCCGGCGAGCCTCAGAACTGGGCTGGTGTCGACCTCCCCCTCTGGGCCACGAGCACCGACTCTACCTCTACCGCTGCCCTCGGCTGCGACCCTTACCCTGCCGGTACTCCCGACCTCAGCGGTAAGATTGTGCTAGTTCGCAGAGGTACTTGCACGTTCGTCACCAAGGCCCAGAACGCCGTCAACGCTGGTGCCAAGTATGTTATGCTCTACAACAACGCCGCCGGTGCTGGCTCCGTCTCTGCCGCCGTTGATGGTCTTGAGGCTATTGGCATGACCACCCCTGCGCAGGCCGCCGTCTGGCTCACTGCTCTTGCTGCTGGATCCGAGGTTGTCCTTCACATGACCGACCCCAAGGAGGCCGAGCAGATCCTGCTCAACTCCAACAACACCGCCACTGGAGGTTCCGTCTCTAGCTTCAGCTCTTGGGGCCCCAACTGGGACGGTCTCCAGAAGCCTCAGTTCGGTGCTGTCGGTGGTAACGTTCTGTCCACCTACCCCCGAGCTCTGGGTAGCTACGCCGTCCTTTCTGGTACCTCCATGTCTTGCCCCCAAACCGCCGGTATCGTCGCCTTGATCGCCGATGTCCGCAAGACTCTGGACCCCGCCACCATTGAGAACCTTCTCTCTGCCCACGCCAACCCCGTCAAGTTCAACTACGGAACCGGCCCCGACGCGCTTCTTGCCCCTGTTCCCCAGCAGGGTGGTGGTCTCGTTCAGGCTTTTGATGCTGCCTACTCCACTGTCATTCTCAGCCACTCCAGCCTTTCATTCAACGACACTGATAACTTCATCCCCGAGCTCAACTTCACCATCAAGAACACTGGCGCCGAGTCCGTGTCCTATGACCTGAGCAACGTCGGTGCTGCCACTGCCTACACTTTCGAGGCTGCAGGAGATCTTTTCCCTGCGGTCTTCCCCAACGAGCTGTCGGCCGAGTACGCCACCCTTGCCTTCAGCGAGGAGAAGGTCACCGTCCCCGCCGGCGGCGAGGTCACCGTCCTGGTCACCCCCACCCCTCCTACTCTTGACGCCGGCCGCCTCCCCGTCTGGTCCGGTTTCATCGCCCTCAACGGATCCGATGGCACCAGCCTCTCCCTCCCCTACCAGGGCATCGCCGGCAGCCTCCACAGCCACGTCACCCTCGACCAGGCCCTCATGACCACCTCCACCAGCGCAAAGGCCGAGGTGTACGAGCCCGTTCCCAGCAACTACACTTTCACCCTGCCTCCCCCTGGCACCGCCAACGAGACTGAGGCCGTCCTTCCCGCCCTCGCTGTCAACATGGCCTTCGGCTCCTCCTTTGTCCGCGCTGACTTGGTTCCCCTGACCACCTGCCCCCCTAACATCACCCACGAGGTCTGGGGCATTAAGACCCTCGGCCAGCCCCGCTCCTTCCCTTACCTGTACGTCTCTCGCGGTGTCTTTGCTGTCAACTTTGACGGCCAGCTTGAGGATGGCACCTACGCCCCTGCTGGCAAGTACAAGTTTGCCATCAAGTCTCTGCGTGTCTTTGGTGACGCGACGAAGCTTGAGGAGTATGATACCACTGAGACTGAGCCGTTCCGCATCGTTTACGGTGCCGCGAACGCGACCGCTCCCGCTAGACACTAGGAGAGTGTTAGGAATATGCCACGATAGAATAACATGTCTATACGACATTTCTTGTAAATAATTCCATAGGACTGGAATAATGTCTGATACCTTGAATTAATCTTGCTTAACGGTGATTATTTTTGTCTACTCCTCCCAAGTCTTTCCCAGCCGTTCCAAGCCATGTGCCCCATCCACGTGGCCCAGTTGACTACTCGTAAGGCAAACCTAGTCAATCACTTGTTCTAGCAAAATCTTAACATCGCCTGCTGCTCGACGGTCAATACCCTTCAGTGTGGTGAACACAAGTCTTCAAGGGCTTCATTCACGCCCAGAACTGTACTCAAACCTTTGCTCTTAAGACATTCCCAACAGCCGCTATTCTAGCAGCAAACAGACTTCCAACGCCTAACAAAGTTATCACAGCCGCCCAGATCTGCGCCCAGATATACTTTCCACCCGACACGTCGAGGATCGCGCCAGCGATAGGAGGCCCTGCTAAGGAAGCCACACCCACAATTGTCGCGACCATTCCGAAGCGTGCTCCCATCTTCGTGGGGTCTACAGTCAGACTCGCCAGGGCAGGTGTAAAGACACCTTGTACGAAACCGTTTGCGATGCCGAAGAAGACACTAAGGACGTAAAGCCCAGGACTCGTGTGGACTCCAATCCATGCAAAGTACATACCACTCACAACCACGTTGCTGATGATGAACATATTTATCGAGCCCAGATAGCGCCCAGCTATGAATCCGGAGAGAACGCGACTGGGTATTCCTGACGAGTTCAGAATCAGCAGCAAGGAGACAGATTCAGTGAAAGACAGCCCAATGACCTCGCGGGCAAAGACATTCATCTGTAAGCGAATCAGCATTCAGTCTCATCTCTAGGGCCAGGAGAGCATGACTTACATAGAAGAGACTGAAGTAAAGAGACAGAAACACGAAGAAGCTCCCGATAGCGAAACACGTATAGGACCGTTCTTTAAAGGCACCCAACACTCGATCAAAGGACCCTTCTTCCTGGGCGCCAGCCGCGGTCTCATCAGCGCAATCGCAATAACACCAAGTATCAACATCATCAAGGCCTGACACCTCACAGCCCACGCAAAGCCCACATGAGGCATTGTGTAATTCAGCAGAATAGGAAATGTAACAGAGCCGAGGCCTGTCCCCGTGGTAACAATGGAGAGCGCTAGAGTCTTGCGCCTCTTGAAATACGAGCCGACGATGGTGATCCCTGGCATAAACATGATGCCCATCCCGAGTCCGGTGCATAAACCCTGTGCAAGGAAGATTTGCCAGTATGCGTGGCAGAAACTGGTTAGAAATGTCCCCATCACGGCCATGAATAGGCCGACGATGACGGCGTGACGGGTGTAGCCTGCGTCGGCTAGGCGGCCCGATAGCGCGCAGATGCCGAAAGTGAGAAAGATCTGGATCGAGCCTATCCATGATGCCTGCGATGAGGGGAGGCTGAGGGTGGTGGTGTAGTAGAGCTGGTAGACACCGTATGAGGAGGGGTAACCCCAGGCGATTTGGTTGATCAAGTGTGAGGCTAGGACTTGCAACCAGGCTGTGGTGCCTCCATCTGGATATGTGAATCCCTCTTCCTCTTCCTCGACGATTGAACTTTGTCGGGAATTGGTGTAATTGAGCGGGGGATCTGCTTCAGGGTCTGGCATTGATGATTGCGGCTGTTGCAAACCAAGGGTCTGCTTTTCTTGAGGATCTGACATAACGCTAGGCGCACCTCAAGATTTGGTCGTGGTACAACAAACAATACGAAGCTGACTTTCAATGGCACACACGGAGAAATGGGGTTGAAGCTGGATGTTGTTGAATTGGGAGAGACGCCTGACTGCATTCGGATGGTTTCAGTGGCTCTATGAAGTAGGAAAGAAACGATTGGGTGACTCACAAACCATCTAGCAAATACTCGGATTCTGTAATTCATCACCGGTGTTATCTCCTGGCCGGCACAAAGCGCCGGGCAAGGTTTCCCGCGCTTGGCACACCAATCTTGAACCAACTCTTCCGACTGAGACATGAGTCACGTAGACGGTGTGGAGAATATTGATCCCCCCTTGATTGTAGTTATCTGTATCTCCGACGAGGAGTTGGGGTAACAAAGATAAGGAGTTAGTTCGTTGCCCACTTTATCATTGATTCTCATTCAAGCCATACGTGCTCTACGAAAGCGTAGCATATGTGAGCTGCGAGTACATTGAGAAACTGCGCTTACTCCTTGGTGCAATGGAAAATGTATCAAGTACAACGTAAACCATCCTATCGAAGTTGTATCTCTAACAAGATTGGGAACTGTTTCCGTTGTATGTCCAAGTGCAAATCGTATTTTTGCGTCGAATATTAGCATCCCTAAAGTTGCTCCTATGCACGCGTTGTGATGATAACTCTTTTGTACCGACGGATCGCGTACGGCCCCTTTTTGGTGCGAACCTGTAACACGACATGCCACTCCTCCCCATCCGTCGCAGAGCCGGCCTCAGTTGGCGGTGAGATGCTTACCTTTGGTCCAAGTGTGACATTTGCAAAGCCAGCCTCATTCAAAGAGTAAATACCATCCGTTCCGAGTGGAGGCGTGAGTGGCAGAATTGTGAGTGAAGGTTGGACGCCGAAGCCCTGAGGTGGCGGGTACCCAAACCACTCAAAGTCGAGTTGGCTCGTTTCTCCAGGGTGGTCGGCATCACACGTACTAGCAGCGTCGAGAATGATTGATCCATTGAGACTAAGGTCGAATCTCACAACTTCGGTGCCTATCGAGCCATTGATGCTCAGTTGAGGTGGATGCGCTACAGCACTCACACTGTTGTTTAGTGTCCATTGCATACGAGCGGCGAAATCGTCTTGCATGGCATCTCTCCAGCGCCAGATTGTTGCTTGGCTGCTCCGGTATTGACTTCCCGAAGGAAGTGATACGCTATCTGGTGCGTTGCCATACCAGTTGAAATCATCTACTTCAGACACCCTGGTGTAACGGCCTCCCCAGCTTCCCAAGTTAGGCATATCGGGAACCGAGAGGCCATTCGAGATCAACCAAAGGAAGCTGGGCGAGTCGCCCTCCATTCCATATAGAATCTGAGGATAAATGCTCCCGAGAGGCCCGACTCGAATGTTCTCATCGGCCCAAGCATTCTTGATCTTGGTAGTATTCGCAAAACCATTGTCATCAGTGTTGATGCCGACCCATGTTGCACCTTCAAACTCGTTGAATCCATTGATGCTGGTGATGTAAAAGATATCGGGCCATCGTGCTTGGATCCACGAGCCGGTGCCATCCTGGTCAGAGATGGCATAAACTCGAAGCCGTGACCTCAAACGTGCAGCATCTTCCGAAGACTGGTCGGTCTCGATCTGCTTAAGAGCTTGTGCCAGTGTGCCTGCGCCGCCCCAGAGACTAACATAAAGTGGCTCCGAGGACTCTTGGAGCTTTTCGATTAGTTGCTTCGCCCCTTCGCTGAGAGATGTGTTCAGCGCTTCCATTCCGTAGACCTAGACTCACAAAGTCAGCTCACGTCAAGCTTAACGAGAGATGATTCGCAGATTCTAATACTTACTTTTGGCCCAGATGACACCAATGGCAAGAGGACATCCGAGCTGCTGTACTGGAACGTCTGCGAAACATGATGGTTGAGATTACCCACAACGGTGCCATATACTTGTAGGATTCTGGTCATGTCTTCCGGGTGTGTCTCGTTTTTCAAGAACGTTGATGTAGTTGCGCAAAGCCCGCGGATATCCAGTTGATTCGAGTACAAGAGTAAGCGGATGAGTGACATGGAGTCGTCGGGTTCGTTGAGGATGTCGGAGAAGATGAAGACTCTAGGCTTAGTCACACCTTGGATCCCATTGGATGTGTTCCCGGCATTGAAGCTGGCCTCGCATTGTATGGATTCTGCACTGACTGGCGATGTCAGAAGATGACTCCAAAGCAGAAGAGGGAGTCCAACAAGCAAGTGCCAAAATGCTGCCATGCTGCTTCGGTTTTACGATGGAGTCTCTCAGTCGTGGCGAAACACCAGGAACAAAGCACAGATCAACTGAAGTCATAAAAGGAGGCGGCATGTCCCTTTTCAAGCGATCGAGTGCCTCCCTTCGAGCCCTCCTAGCTTACACCGACAACACGTCGCACCTCAGGCTGAATGATCCCTCCGTGTTTACACTTTCTGTTTTGGGAAACACCGATGTAGTCAGTTCGAGAAGTGCTTACGATGCCCCGATCCGTGCCATTCAGAATGTTACGTTGCCAACGTGGAGACTGCGGGGATTCCGGGGTAGCTGTGCCGGGGTGACATCGTTTTCTCGTCCTCATCATTGCATTGGAAAATCCGAGTTTGCGTTGCAGGCAGAACTACATGTTTACTCAAGGCACTATTATCGAACAACGAGCTGTTTGATGTATCACTATCGCTGCTCACCAGTATGTACTCAGAACATGACGTTAGAGCCCGGGTTTTCCGAGATCCAGAATAATCCCCGACAAGAACGCGAGTGGGAGCCGAGCGGATCGGAGCATAGGTACCGTCTCTACCAGCGTTGAGCCTGGAAGGCTTACTGACTCTGGTTGCTTTCACCCAGCGAATTGGAGATTTTAGTTCCATCAACCAACAAGAGTACTATCTTTAAGCTACCCCAAATGCCATTGAACTTTCTTCCTGAGATGACAACTCAAATTTTCGCACCTGAAAGACACAAGTTAACTCTCAATGATCCGTCGCTGACATCGTGACTTCCAAGGACGTAAAACTCAGGGTGATATTGCCTCAGCCGTTCCGAAATAACATGGATCTGTTTAGCCTTGGTGGCTCAGTGGTAAAGCGTCTCACTCGTATGGTCTACGTAATGAGAAGATCGGGCGTTCGATTCGCCCTCGAGGCAGAACTTTTGCTATCTCGACTCGGACAATTCATTTTTGGAAGTAATAACGCATGAACAGTCCGTGGGAACACATCACTGAGGTGTCTTTAGGTCCGTCTACGCGCTGGTCGTGAGCTAAGTGCAGTTTGAACCGATTCTTTCCACCAATCCGACATCATCATTTTCCCCATTCAGTCTTTGCTAATCAGATGATTGAAGAAGTCACCAAGGAAAAGTGCCGACCTCTTCGGGTAGCGCGTCTTTTCAGGACTCTCGTAGTCGATCCACGTCGCTCCGAATCTGTCCGAGAACCCTGCCGCCCACTCCCAGTTGTCCGTAAACGTCCATCCAAAGTAGGACTTGATAACAACACCTTCTTGCGAAGCCTTTGCCACCTCTGTAAGGTAACTTTTGAAGAAGTCAACGCGGAATGGGTCCTCGAGAATATCGTCAGGGCCCTTGGGTTTCCAATCATGCTCGCCTTGCGCCGTTGTCCCGTTTTCCGTAATGTAGATGGGTACATGGTACCGATTCCAGATCCATCGCAGCAACTTTGCCCATCCCCACGGCGTCGTGCGTAACCAGTAGGTATCGCTCATCGGCCCGCGCAGCACACCCTCCTTGTTTTCGTCAAACTGCTCAATGTTGCCCTTGTGGTCGTTGATGTCGGCCGGACCGTCGCGGTGCTTGACGTAGAACGCAGAGTACGAATTCATACCGTAGACTTCGGAGCTACCTAGCACAAGCTTGCTCTCCTCGGGCGTGAACCGTGGCAGTCTGTCGCCGAGTTGCGCGCGCATGGACTCCGGGTAGTCACCGGTCTTATACAATGGGTCGGCGAACCACGCAATCTCGAATTCCTGGGCCCTCTGCGCGGCCTCGACGTCGAGCGGGTCCGATGCGTCCCAGGGCTCAGACCAGTTTCCGTGCAACGTGATCATGATCTTGCCCTTTTGTTTTGGCTTGAATTCCTTTTTGTACATGTCGGCCACGTAGGCGTGGGAGATGAGCTCGGTATGCGCGACGATGAAGGGCTCGGTGGAAGAGTCGCCCTCTTCATTCAGCTCGCGGAAGCTGGAACGGGCTGGGGCGTGCACTCCGGCGGCGTAGCCCGCGAGGGTGTAGACACCGGGCTCATTGTAGGTGATCCAGTCTTTGACTCGATCGCCAAAGCGCTCGAAGCAGACGCGAGCGTATCGAACAAAGTCGGGCGTGTACTTTTCCTTGTCCAACATACCACCATACCGATCCTCGAGGGCTTGCGGGGTGTCCCAATGGAAGAGCGTAACGTACGGGGTGATACCGTTGGCGAGTAACTCATCAATCAGGCGGTTGTAGTATGCGATGCCGTCTTCATTGACGGGGTCGTCTTTGCCGCCGAGTGGAATAATGCGCGACCATGAGAGAGAGAAGCGATAGCCGCTGACGCCGTATCTCTTCATGAGTGTGACGTCTGTCTTGTAGAGGTCGTAGGAGCGCACAGCATCGTCGCCTGTGCTTCCATCTTTCACCTTTCCTGGAGTATGCGCAAATTTGTCCCAGATAGACTCGCCCTTGCCATCCTTGTTCCAGGCACCCTCAACTTGAGCAGCGGCAGTGGCAAAGCCCCAGGTGAAGTCGGCGGGCAGAGCGCCCTTGATGGACTCGTCAAACTCGAATTGGGAAGCCATTAATGATATTCGGGTGGTGTATGAGATTGCTCACGATCTCACTTTTCACTTAACCACCGAACGTAAAACATCATTAATACACTGAACGTCGACCATCTTCAACCCCGCTTCACGATCATGTGCTGATAGCTCCAATGATTCTACAGATGCAGTGCCGTCGGAAATCACAAAAGGCATATCCTTGCGGCGGGATGAGATGACAATGATTCGTGGAGGGGAACCATGTCGGTCACAGCTCCCCCGACAGCGGGCGATCAGATGAACGGTCCCAAAGATGGGGTCCCCACTGAGCCCCGACAGGGTCCTTCATACTACCTTACATTTAATGAGGGACTCTTGAGAGATGTGGCCGCCGTTATTCGAACTTGCAATTGAACAAGTCACCCGAAGACAGAAGACCTTGAGTATTTCTCGACTTTCCCTATTGATGTATGTCATCGAAATCTTGCCAATCTTTGATTTCCATGTATTATTCTTGCATGGTCAATTGCCACAAGTATTAACATCACACATGCGAATTCCACCCAGCGTCTATATCCGCAAGCTCCATCCGCAAATCCGGGCCGTGGATCCATACTGGCACGGACTCTTCCAAGAGGCGATGAATGACAATTAAAAGTTGGAAACTCCGTTACTTAGTATTGGGTACTTAGGTAAATGCATCTTCTATGTCGAAGTCCTAGACCAATAGGCGATAGCTTACGCCTTGGACTGTCTTCATCTCCTCATGCCATGACTGGACCCTTTTTTAAAAGACCAGTGGCTTCAGGCTCGGGCGTCGCAGTGGAGGATGCAATTGGGTCTCCGAAATCAGGATCAATCTCGTCCTGCGACGGCGTATCATCGCCACAATCCGTACCATCTGGACCAACGCCAGTGAAGAAGGTACCGCTGTAAGCCGAGTCGAGAGTCCCTTGGAAGTTGGCGTCGCTGAAAGGAACTCTGGTGTGCTCATATCGGATGCCATTCAGCTGCTCTTTCGCTGCAGCTGGGAGGCGATCCCAGGCGACCAGAGGGGGGCTCAAGGCTCCTTCGGGACCATTTGCAGAAGGGATAAGAGGAACCCCGGCATCGTATGCTAGAATAGGGCGTGTTGCTATCGCTGAGTTCTCCCAGCTGACGAACAGGGTGTTGGTGTTGTGTGTGGTATCGAATGCGCCTTGTGGGTTCGTAGAGTACGCGACGCCGCGAGGCGAAAAGTTTGCAATATCGTCGGGACACTTATCGACGGTGAGCCAAACGACGGCTGTGATCCAGTGATGCTTATGCTGCTCGTCGTTACCCTGCACTTTGGGTAGGTAGTAGCTGTAGATGATGCCCGTCCGGTCATGGGATTTTCCGATTCGCGTGTAAGTCTGACCAGTTTGGCCAAAGTCGCGGCAATCGCCGCCGGCTTTACCTGTTGGCTTCAAACCAGCACTAGCATTCGAGCTTTGTCAGTATATTCGATCTATGTCGCTTGGCTCTTAAGAGCTGGATCTCACAAGTCCTAAGGGTTATTCTCACTTACCCAGCAGCACCATCAGCGTCGACCGCTGCGTACGGGACACATCCGTGCCATAATTGGATTAGGGGCTTGAAGGTCATCTGGACCTCTCCATCGAGATCATAGCCAGGGGCTTCCGCAAGGGGGACGACTTTGTCGTGATTCGCCCATTTGTCGTTTACCGCAACGTCGCCATCGCGCTTCCAGTGTGTATATGAAGTTTCTGCGCTAGCAAAGTCCAACGAAGATACGAGAAGAGATAGGAGAGATGCTCGAAGTGACATCTTGAGACGATTTTATAAAGAAAACCTGAGAATGCACCGCAGAAGATGTGATGTCCGATACCCTTTGCTGTTATTTAGGAAGATCGAAGTGCAAAGATTTAAGGAGTCTTATAGTCGACTGGTTCATCCATGGCGATCTTGCAAAGAGACTGACAGGTAGTAAAGAACGTTCTTCCGAAGTCGTGTTATTCTGCCAAATCAACGAGCCAGAGATGACAATGTTTGGTCCATGAGAACCATCCCTCCAACGGAGAAGACCGTGAAGCATAATTGAGTAGATTTAATGAGAGGATAATGATGAATATCTGAACTATATCAAAGTACGGCGTGACCTACTGAGCCTCATTATCTACTGTCTCCAAGATTTCGCTTGAAATCCATTGCGGCTACGAATGTACAGCTGGGATCGCGGCATACGCCGAAAGCTTCCTAGGCGACACCGAGAACCAAGTCAATGGAGGCTACCTTGGCAGTCCCTCGGTTTCATTTACTTATGGTCTTGGTTCTATTAATGTTTGCGTTTACCAAGCAACATACCTGGTCCCAAATCATACTCAAGTAATGAAGCGGTCGAACACAATACCATTACCCGTTCATGACAACAGAGAGGTAGATGAAATTCTGCGTCATAACGATTAATTTTTCTAAACATGCAAGATGAACCCTGATTAGTGATTTAACCGTCAAAGTCCGCTTACCTTTCTCGCATCCATCCCGACCGACTCAGGATGTTTAGTGGTGAATCCGAGGAAAAGGCTAATAGAGGAGCCAAGGTATGACCAAAAGAGTCATGCTGTTCCTGGTGATAATCCCGGAGATTTTTGTCTTCCGTTGGAATAAAGAAGTCAATCTAGAGACACGCCCATGTACTGCGTACCGAAGTCGTATGATCCCACTCCAGGGTTTGCCGTGTGAGCATCAAGCAGGATGCCGCTGGGGCCTACCTTACCATGGATACCCCTCAATAGTAGTATGGTTTGATGAACACACTAGGCTGCGAGAGATTTTCTTCTAGAAACAACGTAAGAAAAATAGTCTAATCATAATCCAATGATACAAGTCAGCTACATATACGTGCATAACTAAAAGCCGTACGTGCCTTGGCCGTTCGGTGTCGAACATCACCATTCACTTTCGTACCTCAATGCCTAGGCAAAACTATTCTCTGGGGTCCACACTATTTTCTAGTTAAGAGTCTGCTCGGCCTGACTGAGGCAACTTAGGAATTCTAGGATTGGGAAGGAGTACCGTCGGTCTCGCGAATAATGTTCTCTCCATGAGTGGAGCTTCCACTCTAGAACTTAGAAAAGAGAGGTGTTCGTGCCGCTCAGGTAACGTAAAGATGCCGAGCTGATTGGCAATAGTTAAGGTGCAATCAATGTCGGAATCTAACGTTGTGAAGGTGCCTGCATTCTCGGCGAATTTCTCGTTGGTTTGATCCTTGTTCTGTCCCTTAAATCCCGCCGGGAACAGATTGCTCTGTGGCATCCCATACGCCCGAAGTACCCGGGACTCTCGGGTTGACGCTTTGACTTACGGAATCGTCCAGGAGGCTCTTGGACGGCGACTCTGTTCTTTTGTTGTGTTGTGACTCGAGTCATTCAGTGACATGAATCCTTATTGAGTGTTGCCAAGAATGCCGTCAATATAATGCCGGTGGCTCCATCTCTTGGGATCTCTCGCTTCAAACAGAAATATAGCACTTATTAGAACTACTTCATCAATTTGTGTTGGCCATTGTGAGAATTGATTGTCGAAGGGTCTTTCTCAAATCCGGAAATTGCCTTCAACTTAGACAGCATCTCTTCGGTGGAATTTATCTAGGTTTTTGACGTCTAAAACCACCAAAGGGATGAACATCTTGGCTACGGGATGGCCGAGGATGAGGACTTTCGATCTCATGAGCTTTGGTATTGCGCAGAATGAGAGACTATTAGCTCAAAATGTCTCACGTATAAATCATTTGCAACTTCAATTCTCTGTTGTATGGTCAAACAACACCATCCCATCTCCAGCATACCAAGTGTCTTTGGAAACATTCACAATGAGGTTTCTGCAACTTCTCGCCTACTGCGTCGCCGCCTCCGGTTTGGCTCTTCCGAAGTTTGACACAGACCTCGTAGTACGCGCTCCAGGCGACTTAGCTACTACGGAAAGCATCGCATTCGACGCCGACGGCATCTTATCCCGCGACTCTAGTGCGGCATGGATAGAGGCCGAGAAGGTCGTTGGCACCCTGAGGCACAACACATACTACTATTTCATGTCCTGCAACAAGGCGTATCCTGGCCAAAAGGGCATGACTCCCTCTCAGCAGTACACCATTGATCAGACAGGCTGTCTACATACTGGTCTGATCATTGGAAAGACTGCTGTCTTCCAGAAGAAGTTCAAGGCCAGCTATCTCCACGTCAGGCGTCTGGCAGACAATCCCAACACATGGACTCAGACTAGACACGATTGGGACGAAGTCAAGAGAATGCAGCGGTAAGATTTCCTCCAAGATACATTTCGGTAGAGAGATACAATGATATGTACTAAATCTGCCTTCATCAAAGTATCGATTACGGTGGTACTACGACATCGTCCAAGGGCAATCTCGGTAGGGTTGTGAGAAAGGGTATGGCTGTTCCTATGATGAACTTGACGAGACACAAATGCTAACATATATTGGCTGTAGGTGAGGAGTGGATTGCATTATCTGGCGGCCAATACTCTGCCGACTGGAATTGCTTGGCCTACTACCGTTTCATGGCCTCGAAGCTCTGAACGTAGGCTTCAGTTTTCTTCGAGAACATGAGTCCAGCTCCAAACAGAAGGCTGTTTATCATAGTGAACTGCTAGCTGTCGCATGAATCCCGATTTTCCTGCCATCCGTTAGTCGTCAGGCAGTATGGAGTATTGTAACTATTCTGAAGCATTTGAGATTGACCTGTTCAAATCTCAAGTACCGTGTCTTGCCCATCTCCAGGCGGCGCTACATCAAATTAAGGATACGAACCTTCCGCGTTGTTCAAAATTAAAACAACATGGGTTCCCTACCCAACGTGATTGGCGGTCAAATTCATGTAATCGCAAGAGCTTTCAGCAGAAAGGCGGCATTCTGTAAACAGCACCAGGGTACTTATCGAAGTAGTGAGAATTTGTTGGCTAATCAGCTAACGATTCTTACATAGTATTTGATAACTTTTGTTACCTGTTATTTGATCCTAATGGACTTGGAATGAACCAGTCGAAAGTGTTCAATAAGGCAAAGCGAAAAGCAGGTAACTGCAGTGGTCTCGATTCCAAGATACTCGGACTTCTTGCGTCTTGTTCCCAATCGTTGTCATTTAGATGGTGGTCTAAGACACACTGGATGAGGTGCTTGAAGCTGGCGCATGACTGTCCAGCAGGTGCAGAAGGAGGAACCCAATCGAGGAACCCTATTAGCAGACTGAGCTGTTGCACAATAGAGGATCTTGTCATTTCAATGTTTTGGGTGTTGGAATACGTAGGGCTCGGCTGAAGCAATCCTTGACACAGGATACCACCAGCAGGGGCACCATACTCTAACAGCTAAATTCCAGTTCAGTAAGTACATATAATAAGTTAAGGGGCTTCTTACCAGCCATTCAAAGTCACGTAGAATGACAGGATCGTTAAGAGAGTCTCGGTGCTTCCAGAGTTCGATAGTCAACCTCACAAGATCGAAACTTGTTGAGAGCAGCTCAGTGTCGTCGAAATTGCTGCAGCGGAGAAGTAACCTTTCTGCAAAGAAGAGATTTTTCAGATGATCGAGTTGGAGCGTAATCCTGAAATACAGAGTCCGACTGTCAAGATCAGAATCATTGAGATCGTTTAGACTATATCTCAAGGCTTCCGGAATCTTGGAAGGGAATACGAGTTGTCGATTCTTCAAGGCTCTGTCCCCAGATGTTAGTCCACCTCAATTAATAACAAGATGGAAGATTTACGAACTGAATTTGATCGCGCTCTACCTGCTTATTGTGAGATAACGCGGCAGCAATGAGTTCGTCTCGGATGTTAGCGATCATGTATCGTGCCCGAATGATAGTCGAAGGATGTATTTTCCCACTCATGTTCCAGCCTCGGTCGTCAAGGGATTGAATTGCATGGGCCAAAGTAGACTTGTCTGATGCAAGATCTTCGTCGCTAATGTCGAGAGGCATTGGAGCAGAGCAGAAGCTATTTGTCAAGAGAGGCGGCCGGCCAGTGAAAGAGACAGCAAATTTATCACTAGTAAAAACCTGAGCCACAATTCGTCGCCGATTCTCGGAGCAAAGCGTTGGTTCGTAAGAGGGCCCATTTTCTAGACTATGGTATCCAAGATACGTGAGCATAGTGACAGACAGACTATGAGATACATAGCTCGAGATGCCTATGAGCAATTAGCACCGACACCAAAGGATTTTTGAAGGGTCGTAGTAATTACGGGCATCACCATCAACAATGGAGTCAAAGATTGCTTTGCGCCGGCAAAGCTCCAATAACAGGTCGTTGCCATCAGTAAAGGTACGTGAAATCTCAATGCAATAGCCTAGACAGGCTTGAGCTGTTCGAGGAGATACGCTCTCCGAGGAGGCGTTCAAATGATGACGATACAAAGAACCAATGTCATCCGAAACACGTGCGATACTGGCCCACAGCAGTCCTATGGATTCCCAACGGAGGTTTTGGTCATGAAACTGACTGATCCATTGAGAAGCGTCATCCTGCTCATCCTCAACAGCTCGTCGGGTATTCCTACAGAGGATCTCGGCCAAGTCGCTAAGGCATTTGTCGCCCTCGTCCGGCGACGTTTCAAATGCAGCTTGGAGTGATTTGATGATCCGATTGACAGCAATATGGCTCCATCCCTTCTGCTCATGGAAGGGTTCATGAGAGTACGCCTGCAAGCTAGGCAAACAACGTAGCACGAATAGAGCCGATTCTTGGCAAGGTGACGGGAGCTCACGAAAGATGACTCTATCGTGACTTTCTTCGTGACTTTGTGCGAGCCTTTTGTTGGGGTCCAAAAGCGAAGTGCCTCCACTGGCTAGGAAGAGGTCAAACTCAGTCTCTTCAAAAACTTTATTATGACTTGTGTAGCCGAAATAGCCCGAAGGAGTAGAATTTGACGTGGTATTTGCTACTGCTTCCTGTCCGAGGCTGGGACCGGTCTCAATACCGAGGTCGGCAGCTAAATCCGGCGTATGTGTCTCCAGTTGCGGTTTTGACGGGTATATGCAGTTGAGCTGAGTTCGTGCTCTCTGACAGCGATTGCATATTGGCTGTGAGCGGTCGCAAGCAAGCTTCCGGCTGCGACAAGGGGCACACGGCGGCTGACGGGTGTTGCGACAAGACGGTGAGGAAAAATCAACGGGGACCATGGTTCAAGCAGGCAATAGATTCGAGCGAATGTGAGCGTATACGCAGTAACAGATGTTTGGTCGATTGATCGACCGAAGCGACTCCTCCTAGGTAAGACGACATTACTGGTTGATTGACTGAGCGATTGAATTTTCTTGCATGGCTCCAGCCGCCTTTGTCAGCAGCTATGGTCGCAAAGCGGCGCTCATTCTCGGCTTCGGTCACTGGCAGCAAATGAATGTATCGGCTTCGGCTAGTGTGTCAATCACCCCAAACTCCTATTAATACCTACGAAGGAAGAACAAGGCTTCGGTTCGAAGCCGAGACCAAGGCTGGATTTTGGCCAGCAGTCTTAATCAAAGTAATATCTGCTTCTGAAAACCGAGAGTATTAGGGTAAGTATAAAGTAGGCGGGGTTTCTCAGCTCTCATCATCCTAAGTGCACTCGTTTCTCTGGTGAAACGCCCTCAGTTTTCTTTATTATACTTCACAATAACGCCATTATGCATGCGGAGGGGGCCCTCAACGGCCTGATAGGGAGGTATCCCGCCAAGGCACACGCGTTACGCGTAGCTCAGTACATCCATGCTAAGATGCCTTACACAAACGGTTTTCTTTTTCTTACGGGGGCCCGAGAGGAATTCTACGATGATACAGACCTAGCGATTCCGTACCGACAGCTGAGGCCCTTCATGTACCTGACTGGTATTACCACTCCCAACTGCCATCTGATCTACGACATCAGAAAGGCTCATTTGACGCTCTTTGTCCCACCCATCGACCCCGAAGAGATCATCTGGTCTGGATTGCCCCTATCGAACGAGGAAATCCTTGGCAAGTACGATGTTGACTCTGTGTTGTCCAACACAGAACTCCAATCATCATTAGGCTTCATCGGAAGCCAAGCATGCCAGCACGGGGCTGTAATATTCACCATCGGCGACCACCAGAGGCCTGGTGATAACTTTCCTATGGAAACGGTAGTGGACTCGAGCCTACTCAAAGAAGCAATTGACGAGTGCCGAGTGATCAAAGATGATTACGAAATTGCTTTAATGCACGAGGCGAACATCATCAGTTCTATTGCACATCAAGCGGTGATCAAGTCCCTTAAGGAATGCAGAACCGAATCAGAGATTGATGGGGTGTTTCTGAGAGAATGCACGAAACAGGGAGGAAAGGTTCAAGCCTATCCGAGCATTGTCGCAAGCGGGCGCACAGCGGCAACGATGCACTACGAGAGCAACAATCAAGACCTCTATCAAAGTGGCAAGCCTAAGGATGTGGTCGTAGTGGACGCTGGAGCTGAGTGGAACTGCTATGGCGCCGACATTGTGAGCTTGTCTTCCTCACCTTTCTCCTGAATCCGACTAAAACAAGGCAGACTCGAACTCTTCCTATCTCTGGCAGATTTACCCGCGAATCACGCGCGATCTATGATATCGTGCTGGATATGCAACAACAATGCATTGCAGAATTAAAGGAAGGGGTGTTGTGGGATGATCTGCATGTATTGGCACACAAAGTTGCGATTGATGGTCTCCTAGCCCTTGGGATCTTGAAAGGGGACAAGGATGAGATTCTGAGAGAAAGAATCAGCACTGCTTTCATGCCCCACGGACTTGGCCATTTTCTGGGCATGGACACACATGATACCGGAGGTCAATGCGACATGACTGATGACAATCTCGATCCCATGTTCAAGTACTTGAGAGTCAGAAGACTTCTACCTGCGGGATGCATTGTCACGGTGGAACCAAGCGTGAGTTCCATTCCCACCTCCCGATTTCTCACAGAACTACGAAGTTTCCTTTCTCTGAAGCTAACACAACTATATACGCTTTAACGAACATGTGATTCGGCCTCTTCTCCGTGATAGAAGACTCTCAAAGTTTATTGACGAAAAGGTATTGAACCGATATTGGGATGTTGGGGGCGTAAGGTGAGTTCTCAACAAGTCCCAATAGAGCCTCGCGATGTTGAAACTGCCTCCTAGTATCGAAGATGACCTTCTAGTCACGGAGTCTGGCAGCATGAACTTAACAGATGTACCCAAAGATCCAGATGAATTGGAGAGAATCTTGTCAGGAATGGCTGCAGACTCGTGGCCAGCCTTTGCCACCTAGCTTCTAGATCAAATGATTCAATCATTTCAATCTAAGAACAGACTCATGTGGATTCAAGTACTAGTTGATGTCGGGCGAATGCCGGGAGAGTTTATGGGCCCGAAAAGTCCGCAGTGGATCTGTGTCGCCGGGTCCACCTTCGGAGCCGTTCAGGCTCGGAACTCTAAAAGTTCCAGCAGAGGAGGCGCACCGAGCATGTTCGAACATCCCATCAGTGACTTCAGAATCGCCCAAGAAGGCCCTGGGGCATACAGAATCAAGCTCAGGCTCGCGGGAAACGGGTATGTAAGGCGAATTCTTTTCCCATAAAATCGCGTTTTGCACTCTTGCGAGAACGTAATTATGACTATTTGCGCAACTTTAACAGCTTCATTGATGGAGGTATGAGCAAGAAACTGTGTGCTGGCCTTTGTTGAGCCAATGACCCTGTGGCCGGTGTAGTATGCAAAACCAATAAAATTCATTTCTTTACGCCTGGTATCTTAGCCCGAGTTACAGTCACTCTACTCATTATAACAGAAGGAACCACCACCAAGTCCTCTTTGATACAATCGACTTGTGGACATGACCAAGTCGTAAATGCCGTGTCTAAACTAGCCGAGGCTAACCGAGACCCTTCCACCAATGATTTATGCGTATCTCTGGTCCATCTCATAACGGGCTGCGTTCGGGTCGTAGGTCTTGTTGGGTTCGTTGGAGGCGTACCCTCCAGTGTAACCAGTGCTTGGGTTGGCGGGAGCGTAGTTCCCGCGGGGCAGTGTGCCCTTGCGGAACTTGTGGTAGATGACGCTAGCATAAATGAGGAGACCAACGAAGGAAGCGCTGCAGAACCGAGGTTAATTTGTCATTCAATGGGAAAAAAAAGTCAGTTCGTTGGAAGCTGCTTACAGAATGACGATTGCGATAATGAAGGTAAATGCGCCGCCAGCACCGATGATGGTGAGGATGAACAAAATGACCCAGACCAGAGTTTGGATGACGTTGGAGACGAGGAAGAATTTCGGGCTGAGCGTGCGTCGGGAGCGCTTGACAATGCAGACGATGTCGAGAATCAAGCAGATAAGAATGATAACCATAATGACACAGAGGACACCAATGACCCAGCTTGCTGTTCTGTTGTCGTCGCCGTAGTCGTTCAGAGTCTCCTTATTAGAGGCCGCGAGGGCGATAGTTCCGGCGTAGAGAACGATCTCAAGAACCATGATCGCGATTCGAATGACCCAGAAGGGAATCAAGACGCGCTTGAGGAACGGCGAGCTATCGCCGATGATGTATGCTTGAGTCATTTTGTCGGTGTTCGTAGTTGACGTGTTGTAGGTATCTGGTCGATTGCCGGGAGGATTGTGTGTATTATCGTCAAGTGAACACGAGACCAGTTTTCAGTTTCTAGACGTAAGGTATTCGATGACAACAATAACGCATTGCCAAATGTCGTGAGAGACTCTTGCGCCTTAAGTAAAATTTGACGAAGACCACGGCACTCGAAGGATTAAACCCCTTGGACCGACAGCGCCGCACTTCCGTCTCGCTTACAGTTGGAATGTCTTAGTTGCGTTGGACCGGCGCGCCACAGCCCCTATTGTTTTGGTCGCCTTGGTCCTTGGCGACACAGCCCTAATTAGACTCTACAGGCCTGCAAAGTAACCTTAAGATAGTCCAACACGCCCAGCAGCTCCCCCAAACATACTCTAAGTGGCTGCAATTGCCCTGTGTTGCCTGTTTCATGGGGCCGAAAGCAAGGTGAATTCTGACTGCCAGGGATCTCGGCTGACAACAAGCGCCTGTTGGTGCGTCCCCAAGTGGCATAGCCCCGGATCAGCTCGTAGATCCCTGGCTTCTTTGCGTCTTTTACAGTTTTTACCACCTATTCTCGACAACCAGCACACCAAAGTTCCCGATCTCGGGCGGGCCTAGCGAATGTCGCTGCCTGTGGTGGAGATCCTCTGGCCTGTTGGGCTGACAGGGTGTGAGACTGTACGACTGTGCCCCTTGTACCATTCCTAGACCGTCATTCGCAGATCTCTGTATGAAGTCATTTCCATGCCGCACCGCTAACCGCCGAGACTTGAAAGAAGCCATTACGAGATTTGTTTTGGGAGCTGCGGCACTGCGAAAATGGGGCCGATTTTAGCTCGGGCTACCTGCACGATTTCCATTCCTTGACCCTGTGCCCGAAATTGCTAACGGCAGCGCCGTTTTGGGTCTCCTCCTCAGGCAGTCACGATGTCTTGGTGAGGCGCGATGCGTCACACACGATCTTATGGTAAAATACGCTATGGCACTGTTTAGTTTCCGATCATGACAGTCGTCAGCTACATTGGCAAAGCGGGAAGTGGTGAGATTTGTCCTCATGAAGAGCAACGCTGTAACATCCGGGCGATAGTATGCGCCTCTCGAAAATTGAGATTCCAATCTTCATTCCGGGATGAAGCGAAGCAATGATCGAGCCGAGAGCCTAGCAGTCGCTCCACCAGAAAAGAGAATGGGAATGTTCCATAGGGGTATCCCCTAATCTACTCCGTACTCCGCCGTGCATACACAAGGCGAGCAGGGGTTGATCTCTTCTCGGGCACGCGTGAGGAAGCCAGCTAGTGAGCCAGTGGTCCCAGTACCTAGCCCACCTTAGCTAAAAGCCATACGAACGGATGGCTTGACTGAAGCCACCCAAATGCCAACAGAACCTTAAATTTTATTTCCCTAAAGATCTCCTCTTGAAGGTTGCTCAGCCCTGTTTGCCTGGCCCATGTTCAATACCTAGGTAGGGCTATTGCATCCCCATTAGTTGAACAGTCGCACTTGCTTCAATGAAAAGTGTATTACCTCACTCAACATGAAGCGATCTCGATTCCATCGGGACATGGAGTTCGTGTGCACATTTACATAACGTCCCGGTTGAGAACCGCCAAAATGTGATCGATCGGCTTGAGCCAGGGTTGAGAGCTTGGCAGTATCTTACCTCAGCCACGAACTCGTGGCTAACACCGATCCTCCCCGACGTACTGGGGCTGGGTATCTGGAGTCAACAGAGTACGAAAATTTGAGAGCTACCGTGAATGACGGCATCTCACCTGCCCAAAAGGATCGATACGGACAAGGCAATTGGGCCACTGCATTGTGAGAAGTCCTTCAGCGCTAGATTCACTGACTCAGGAGGTGATCTTCTGATGTGAAATCTCTACGAGTTTATTGTTTGCAACATCCGTCTAGATCATGAAGGTTGAGACATGGGACTCAGTATTGCCTCAAGCGTACAGAGAAACCACATCGTCGATGGGCTCCGTGAAAAACAAACCTTGAGGAAATGGAACGCAGAAATGTCGAGATCACCGCCATTTGACGGCTTTAGATGGGTGTGATATGAGGATTCGGAGACTTCATTTATCTAGAATGGATCACATTGAATGCTTTCTTGTCATCACTTATCAAGTCGGCGATTCGATGGATGTGTGCTCAGAGATTACCCATACATGCTGCTGTCACAAAAAGCGGGCCCACTCAATGTGGGCAGCATTTACCACATCCATATCTCGTGACAGCTGCTTACGTCGTAAACAGGTGCAGTGAGACCCGCCATCGCACAACCCATACACGAATCAAAACAACCCAAATGTCGGCCGAGTCCTGGGCCAACCAAGCGATTATTGACTCTCATGTCATCCTACCAATCCAGGAAACAAACTCGCTCTCACCTCCATTTGCTTTGTGCAGAAATGTCCACGTTTCCTGTCAGTCAGACTTGGCTACGTCCTGCATCTCATCTTTGTCAGCGCTACAGTCAGATACCGAGAACGTCATTGGTGCATTGATTTTCCGTCGAACGCCAAATGTGATGGACAGTGGAGATCCATCAATGGCTTCTCGTCAATGTAAGCGCTACAGGTTGCGGTTTTTGCTCCGTGCAACACAGTAGCAGTCCAAACCAACGGGAGTAGAAGTATTTAAGACGCCTCGGTATCAGTCGTTCAATGTTGCCCAAGAACTGGGACCTTCAAAGCTCCATGTCTTTTGTTACTCATACTTCACAATGTCTTCACCAAAATTCCAGATCCCGCCAGAGTTCGAATCAAAACTCCGCCATGTCGAACCTCTCGACTCGCGCTCCGATCAGGAGATTCTTAAGTCTTTAAAAAGTCCTCTACCAGTCACTTCAGAAAAGAACATCTGGGCCTTTTGGGATTCTGGCCTCGACAACCTTCCAAGCTGGGGCCAGCGCAACATCATCAACTGGGCTCGACTCTGCGGTCCGGAATGGGCGATTCGCGTTTTGGATGACGTCCCAGACTCTCCAAACAATGCCTTAAACTGGGTCAAGGAAGACCAACTACCCGAGGCCTATATTGCACACAAGATGGATGGGCCCCGTGTGCGGACTGGTCCCCACAGTGCAGACTTCCTCCGCGGTAAGTCAACATACCCACTTCCTGGCACCCCCCTGTTTCTGGCACCACAAAAACGATGGGATCACAACCCAACCTCCTCATTACTATTAACTATTGATCCTCAACCACACCCACTACAATACAGCTGCCAGCCTCACTAGGGCATTCAGAGTCGCTGGATTCAGCCGTGATAACCTCCTTTTCACCCGCTTCGATTTGAGCCCGATGGATATCCCTGATGTTCGCGAACTTCGTATTGGGATCG